AGGCGTCATCTTCCTTGTGAAATCGAGTTGAGCACGAATACAAACAAAACACTGCTAAATTGCGAATTAGATTGTAAATTAGCTTTTCTCCAAATTAGAAAATTTTTAAAACATTAGGTCAAGTATAAACCCGCTACGATGTGCTGTTTTGCTGCTTTACCTCTACAAACTTCTTAGAATCGGTACATTTATATACAGAAAGCTATGAATAAATAAATAAGAAGAAATACTCTAGAATTACTATTTAATGTACCTTTTTTATAGGCATTACTTCGTGCAAGGCAGTAAAGTCACTGACAAAAGTGGTTGCAAGGTGTGGAATAATTAGGATCTAATAATATGCAGGAAGATAAAAGATTAATCAGGATGACAGTAGATAACGAATGACATTACATTTAATTTTTTGCAGATTAATGTCGGTTGGAAAGCATAGAGCCGCAAGAGAGTTCCACAAGCGAGAAGTGTGAGAAAAGAAACTGAGAGCATATAATTTATGGCTACATCTAGCCAGCTCAATTGTAAATTGATGATATCTCGAAACCAGTCTAGTATTGAGCTTAAATTCAAAACGTCAAGGCATCATAGTGAAGAGCTCATCCGAACAATTACCATGAAAGCATTTATAGAAAAGACACAGGGAGGCAATGTTACAGCGGGGTGAAATTGACTGAAGCCGAGCCGTCAGATCAGGACCAATAATATTGCTGATTCTTCTTTAAATTTTATGAAGGAGCCCAAAGTAAATAACAAGGAACTGGACCATATGTGGCAGCAATATTCTAAGCATGGGCGAAAAGTAGACTTATAGATATGTAAGATAGATTCTGGAGAGAAAAATTGTCTCGCGCGACACAGTGAATTGACTTTCTTAGAAGCTGACAAGAAGCTGTATATATACTCCTTAAGAAATTGGATTCTTTTAAATATAGATTGTCGGAGCACGAACAAAATGGACTTTTAATATCTTTATTTCTCAATTGAAAGCATTTAAACAGTAATAGTTACAGACATTTTGCTACACTGCGCATTCTGTTGCCATGTTGCGGTAATAAACCAACAAATTGATTATCACACATATGTACAACATATACTTACATCGTATTAATACCTCCGCTCATATGGCATATATATTTCGGTACCAAACCATTAACCTATGTGTATTCCAATTCAATGAAGAACGAATTCAACTTTCCTGCATGCATAAAAGCGCCAAGTATTCTGTATTTCAGATTGCTGAGGAACCAGCCAATTTATTCTTTACTTTAAGCCTCATATCTAAATTGGCAACTATACAAAAATTAAACTGAAAGGAACAGTCCTTAAGGAATTGCGTGTGTCATAAGGTAGTTAAAGGTAGTAAAACTAATAATAAAAAAAAGAAAGAAAACTATTTTTTATTTTAAAATATTACTGCTCTATCTTTGATTTCTTGGATGTGTAGAAGCAACTGAAAACCTTTCTTTTTTGTGTTAATATTATCTCAATATGTTGGGGTGCTGAAAACAACTGCATTTTTTTTTCAAACAAAATCTATTATTTATATGAATTTACACAATCCTTATTCAGTCATTAAATTGATTTCTTCGATCTTACTTTTTTTATTCGCCCACTTTTAGATAACTTACCAAAAAAAACTTAACAAAAAAATTTGATTTGATGAATTCTTCGAGATGTCTGACCTAGATGAAGCTGATGAATATTAAAAAGAGTGCTGCATTGTGGGAAACAAATTATAGTTTCATGTTTTCATCACGTTGAAACACCGGTTCCTGTACGATCACCGAAGTTAAGCAAAGTCGATGCTGGTCAGTGCTTGGATGTGTGGGTGGAGCAATGGATAATGGCTCAGAATTGTTTATAGAGAACCAAATTCCAATGACCGCTGCGTTCGTTATTTTCATTTAGGCGCAAATAATCTTGGGAAAGATAAGAATCCATCTTTTCTCTCCAGCTATGGATTAATTAGTAAAAATTGTATCACTAAACAATTATTATCTAAATTCTTACAGTGTAAAAGTATTTTCTGTCTTTAAATAACCGGACATTGGTTGATAAGCTGTAATAAAAGAAATCAACCGAATCGCTACGTACGGAATAACTTCCTCCTCCTAGTTTTATGATCTTATATTGCACCTCATCTATAGGGCGACGATGGCTATTGACATCCAATGAAACCTCTAGTCAACTTACCCCATCATTTCATTTCTGGTGCGTCATTTAAATAATCAAATTTCTCTCAGTAATGTTACAAAGATGTCTAGATTCCAGCAATTTGTCATTAAAAAATCTTCTCTTTTAATTCCACCAAATAACAAGAAAGAACCATTATTCTTAAATTGATTCTGTTTACAGTGAGATATTAAATCCTCTCCTTAAACTCACCACAATTTTTTTGCCTTCAGGTTCTAATATATCCATTTTTACTCGCCGGGAATATTTTTGTCTGTGTCTTTATCAAGTAAGAAAGAGTAAGAACGTGTTTAATGCTGATTGATGTTCCTATCTTCAGTTCAAATCGAACCAATTCGCGGAATTTCCTCATAGCTTATAAACCATAGTGTAATGTTTGAAATAAAGCAGTAAGCTTCAAAGCAACTTTTCATATTTCACTAATATTGTGCAGAAAATTATACTAGGAAATTTATCATTAAACTTTTCAAAAAACCAAAAGATTGATTTAAACTAGTACGGTTCCCCGTTAAAGCAACTGAAAGCAGAAACAGGCAAAATGCTTCCGTTCTGAACTACTTGAGAGAACGTATGTAATATTTTATCATGATGACACTTGACAGCTCGTTTCTTTGCTCACCCACAACACACTGTTATAGCTTTTTGTTCATCTGCTGTAATCACCAAATATTGTGCATTTTTATTGATTACAATTTATCCTAAATTTCAATAGTCTTCATTCAGTTATTGAGAGAATACAAAAGGTATTTGGATCAGTTCTTAGCTTAAAAAAACGTTCTGTATGATAGAAATATAAATTTACTTGAAATATGATAGAACACATAGGAACAAAACGTAAAATATGTTGGCAATAAAGGTCATATGGAAGCTGAAAAGGTTGACTTATTAAACAAGCAATTTTTTTTATATCGACCAAAATGGGGTCTTTTGGAGTTCTTACTGATCCCATTTGCGTCTTTAATAATATAATTCGATAAATAAATAATTATTGTAAGGGAGATAACTCTCATACAGCAGCAGTATCAGACAAAAACAGTTCACATATTGAATAATAAAAGAAAATGTTACTGAAGATAAAATTATTCAGGGAATTAGAATTTAGAGTTCAAATCATTTGAAGTCGAGTTTTTACGGATTTTTTGCAGGTTATTTACAGCCAGGGAATAGTTTTAGACTGTAAGAAGCTTTGAATGATTTACTAATACAAGTCCTACAATTAACCCATAGCTGGAGAGAGAAGAGATGATTCATTCCTTTCCCAAGGGCATTTGCGCGTAAGTGAATATAATAACGCAGACTGGAATTGGAATTTGGCTTTCTGATTAACAATTCCGAGCCGCTATCCAAGCTTACAGCACCTGTTATTTGCAAGCGGTCACTTATCTAGTTGCTGACAAGGCTCGACGTTACTTAACTTCTGTGATCGTACGAGAACCTGTATTTTAACGTGATATGGCCGTAAGCCTTTTTAAGCCGTAACTGAAATACAATTTATAAAGTACCACAAGACAAACTCATAGACAACATATTAATGGATTGTTTTGTTCCGTTTTGTTTTGAAAAATAAATCTATAATTTTGTGAATTTTTCATATTTGTACCATGCCAAAACATATTTGATTCTTATCGTATTTGATAACTGAAAGACATTTAGTTTTACTTCGTGAGGAAAATCTTTTTAGTAAATGCACAATAGGTTTTCGGCAAATTTCTCAGCACGACCAAGAAAGAGATTCTATAAAAAATGTTTCTGGTGTTAGGTCATATTTTAAGAAGTGGGTCGTCCGGCACCCTGTTGTAATTACATGTCCGAGTAAGAATATGGATGTGTATGTATGAGGAAGAGACTGAAACAGACAGAGAATGTACAAGGCAAGATACTTATTGATAAATGTATTCCCTGGCACAGAATCTAGTTGTGGCACATCTCCAATGCGTACAGGCTTTTGATTGGATGCTTCACTAGACCCAGTTATTAATACTCGTTCGTGGCCTGTCCCCGAGGTGCACACAAATAGACACTACAACACTTAAGAATGATTAATAATATACGGTTTACTGCTATTAAACAACGCAGCTAAAGTCCTGAGGCAGTGAAACCTGCCTACACATCTCTCTCACTAACTCTCCTCTCTCTCATTATTCGTTCTTTTTCGTCTTTGTTTGCCTCTTTTAATTTTTATCTTTTTTTCCCTTTCCTGCTTCTTCTCATTGGTTCTTTCTTTCCTACAATTCTTTTAATTTTTCTTTCGTTTAGTTTCACCTTTCTCTTTCTTTCGGACTTGAATTCTCTTTCTTCAAGATTATTCTGTTTACCGTTTCAACAATGACTGATCAATAAGTTTGTTGCCTGATATATCATTATTAATAGAATTCTGATCTTAAATCTTCAAAACGATTTGCGATCAGTGCGATCAATACACACGGCTTAATTAAGTGCATTGACAAGGATATTATATTTAAATTTAAATATTTTTTGCAAAGTAAATACTATTTTCTTCATTAAACTTCATATCTTATTGATATACTTATGTATGTATTGATTAATTAACCGAGTGATTGGTTTACTACGGCTTATCAACACTTTTCAGGTTATTTAAAGCCAGAAATTATTTTTAGAGTGTTAGAATTGTTTGAGATAATAATGGTTTTAGTGATACAATTCTTACTAATTAACCTATAGATGAGGGAGAAGAGGTGGATTAACAAAAGCATTTGAACGTAAGTGAATATAACCCAACTGGAACTAGAACTCAAGTCTCCGATTGACAATTCCGAGCCATTATCCATTACATCACCCACGCATGCAACCATACAACACCTGGTATTCCCAAGCTATTACCTATCTAGATACTGACCAGGTTTGACGTTGCTTAACTTCGGGGATCATACGGGAAGCAATGTTTCAACGTGATGTGGTCGTAATCTTCATGTATATATATATATGTATTTACATATCTGTTTAAGTCTGTTCATCGCTGGCTCTTTATGTAAAAATTCAGATATAAATAAAATATATCTTTAAAGACAATATAAATAAGAGAAAGGACAAGATAAATATTTATACCAGGGCGTTTCATTCCTTGAGGTTCTTTATCAATGAAATGTGGAATTTTCATTTATACACAGAAGTAATGTGGAGAAAAAAATTTGAAATAGATAAAATATTATAAATTCTTACTAAGTTAAACTATGGAGTACGCCAAATGAATAAATTTATCGAGGATCTTTTTCAAAAAGCAATTGCTCTTAGAAAGAAATTGTCCAAATGGAAGTTCCTTGTGACCAACACTGAAAAGAAAAGATTAGGTAGCTCCAGCCCAGATATGGCTACAAAACTCTATATTTAGTCTGATCTGACTCTTGTAAAGATACAGGATGGTAGGATACTTTATGGAACACCATTAGAAGCCAGTCATTCTTCCAGTGACTTTAGCAATCGATATGAGTTTTATTTGAAGTCTGAACCCTCAAAACAAGGAGCCTCTTTCAGAGTGTAACCATTCATAGGGACTAGTAAGAATTCAGGATCAGCTAGGGGTGATGAAAAATTCTATCTTGTTTTTTTTTAGTTATTGAAAGTTACAAAACAGTGTTTTATTTTTGTATTGTATTTTTTTATCCATTGTGCTGTTAAAGCAGGATCAAAGGAGAGATCATCTGCCAGGTTCGGCTCATCTAGATTCTTTTACGGATATCCATAAACCGTGGTATCATCTGCATAGATATTTACTAACGAGCTGGACAGATCTTTAAGATAAAGCATAAAGAGGGTAAGGCCGAGGTGCGACGCCTGCATTGGCCTCATGAACTTCAAAAGCCTTAACAATGCTCTTCAAGAACCTAACTGATAGGAAGGAATTTATGATTGCGAGGACTCTTGCAGACATAATATAATTGGAGAATCTCAGGTGATCGCTCTTATGTATTTATTTTTGAGTGCTGCACTTATTTCTTACCTTATGACAAAAGATCAGCATAATTCTAGAAAGTAAAATACATACTGCGTGTCGTTCAGTAGATTGTTTCTGTTGGAGTGATCAAGAAAATTCTTGTTGATCACAGATCCAAAGAATTTGCTGATGACCCTAGAGAGACAGATAGATTAATATTAAACATCTTTGTCAAGTTCGGAGATAGCTTTGCGCAAAGGTTCTTAAGCATGTCCATTGAAAATTTATGCGTACCATAAAGTCTAGACTTTTGATTAGACTGGAATCACTCCCTGAGTCGTTATAGACATGTCACAAATTTTTGTGAGATAGAAAATGCTTCTTGTCGTCTAACGTTTTTACAAAGAACAAGGATGAAATAAACTCAAGACTATTTATTATAGTAGACACTGACAGTTTGCAACTATTGGGAACTATTCTCCTCATCCTTATTGGCATATTCACAACGTCTCAGCCGCTGTACTCTCCGGCCTTCTTCCGGTGATATACGTTGGAATTTCGAACCGAATCCTTTATTTCGTAGATTGTTCTACTTCCACGTGTAATGTATGTTCTGGATATCACAATTTCAGTTATTTACCTTTTAGTAACTCAGTTTTTTGTTCAACTCTGCTGTGGCCACGTATTGAACTCACAACTCTTTGGGTCAAGTCACTGGATTACTTCTACCAACGCTTCTGGGCCATGTATCCTTTGGGACAATAGTTCGAAATAGTATATTCTGGCGGTTTCTGTTGATAATTTTGTGCAGGATAAAATTTTCCATGTCAGAAAGAATCCATTAGGAGATAAGCGAGGCTGTTCTGGAGGCTCTGTTTTTTCATAATACTGAGAGAGGAACTTCAGCAATGTAAGATTTAAAACAATCTCAATTATCTTTGACCTACCGAACGTTCATCCTATGAAATGGGGCATCGGAGGGAGTCTTCAATTTTTGACATTGATCTGAAGCGCCCAAGAGAGTTAACACTTCATCAGAGCATTCGTCAGAACAGGAGATCAGAAAGAGGTCAAGGAGATTTGCGTGATACCTATCCATGTCAGGAAGACTTGTAGAGGCTTAATCACGATCGGCGTTATTTCGCCATGAGAATATCTTCCTTCTTCAGCGGTTTTGTTCGAATGGACTAAGCATTCCTCGTGATGTACAACACAGAATTAAATGCACTGACAAGGAAGAAGATTATGTTGAAAATTAAAAATTGAATTTTTTTAATCAATTGTTTTTTCACCATTGGGCTACCAACTTTTTAATACACTTACATATGGATGGATGTATATATACGTGTATAATTTTGTCAAGTATTGATGCATTTGTGCCTTTATTTACGTATACGTAGGCATATATTTAACAACGTTACGATTTTTTTCGGAATACGATTAAAATCGGCTCATGTCACAAGTGTGTACACTTTCATGAATACACATATATTTATTAGAGTATATATACACGTATACGCACATATGTACACATGGATAAAATCTTTGCTGAAAAAGAAAATATAAGATTAACATGCGAATAAAAATCATCCATTCAGATCATAAAATGACAGGATCGTACTTGGAATTACAAAATATAATTTCAGAAAAAAATTCTTTCATATTCAAATGGAATATGTTGTGCTTCAAGCGAAAGAAAAAATATCCTGCAATGCCTTTTATTAAAAACAAAATTAAGAGAATTTATCGATTCTCCATAGTCAGACATCAGGAGCGAAATGCTTCAGTATTTCCAAATTTTTTGGTTTACCTCAAATTCGAGAAATAATCATTCTCAAACTCTTTATTTTTGTTTAGTCTCAATTTTTCTCTCTTTTACACACACACACACACACACACACACACACACACACACACACACACACACACACACACACACACACACACGCACGCAATCAAAGAGGCGCACATGGACACAACTATATATGCTCATATCGCTATACACATTCTTTTGCTCTATCTACATAACGATTCTAGACAAAAATATTCTACAGAACACATTATTATTTTATTAAAATATTTTATCATGGTTCGACTTCAAAAGTCTTCTCAGTATTTTATTAAAACAAAATCTACAATAATTTATCTTATGTACGGTGAACAAAACAATAAATTGTAGTCTAAATAAAAGCATTACTATTTTGAGTACAATTTAAGTTCAATGCAAAATCTCTAAGCAGTTTGCAGTTTGTGCCAGATATTTGAGAACATGCATTTCGCAGGTCAAAAATGAAAGCCTGCCTAACGTAATTTTATGTAGCATGCACTAAATATTAACATTCTTCACTCTCTTTCAGACGTATGGAGGACATTACCATAACAAGCTCTCAATCCGACAAAGGAAGTAAAAAGACATGAATTACTTGTGACTCTAACCGTGAATTACGTTGACTCAGAGAAAATTTGTTACTTGACCAGCTGAACAAAACCAAAGACGGATCCCACAGAGGTACCGGCGGTGAAGCCTACCTACCTCATATCAGTGATGGGGTCCGTAAGCAATGCGGATTATGTCATGCTTCCTGCAAAAACAATGAAATCCAGTGTTATTCTTCTCCCTCCGGCACTCATCAGGAAGATTAGACCGTTGCACCTGAAGGGCAGCCCCCATGGTAGACATTTTGCATGCAATCGTAAATTTCCTCTTGTGCAATCAATTACAGAGTGAAATATTCAATATCAAGGCGATTCTTCCATTTCTCATTCTTTTTATCATCCGTCATTTTTAACTGACTTTTTTTTTTATTGTTTCTGAAATGTAAATCACAAGAAAATGTGTAGAATGCAATGAAAATAATAAATAGATAGATAGATAGATAGATAGATAGATAGATAGATAGATAGATAGATAGATAGATAGATAGATAATATTAGTGGTAAATATGCACCTACATATGCAATCATATATCTAAAATATATATAAATATATATACATATATACATACACATACGTATATATTTGTATAAAAAATAAATCCAAGAGGATAGAATCCAGGTAGAACTCAATGTCCGGGACAGAGTAAGGATATAATAAAAAGGCTTAAACACTAATATTCTATGGTCATAATTTATTCCATTGGAATCGTAAATACGATCCAATTCATCAGACCAACAAATTCAAAAAGAAAACAGAAAAAAACTCCGGGAATAAAAAATAAAATGTAGTGAGAGTGTATGTATGAGAGTAAATGAAAGCTATAGGAAGACGAGATATATATATTATTTTCATATATATATATATATATTTATATGAGTCATTTCGCCCAAAGCAAAACAATAAAGCTAGAATGTGAGAAAAAAGCCCTGTTAAAAAAAAGAATAAAACAGAAAGGAATTAAGATGTCACAAGATAATGATTGACATTGCATTTAAATTTTTGAAGATCAAACTTGACTGGACAGCAAGAAAGTAGAAGACAGATCGATAAGTGAGAAGGACGAGAAAAGAATCTCTTAGCCTAGAACTCACGGTTACATCTCGACATTTCAACAGTAAAATGATGAGACCATATCGCCAATCTAATACTACGCTTAAATTAATAAAGTCTAGGTACTAAAAAGGAAAGTAATATTTATTTTAAGAATGTGAAAATGTGGCACAAAGTCTTTAATCTATCTTATCTTAAACTTAGATAGCCACACTTACTGACCCCAAAATACCACAGTATTCCTTTTAAAAAAACAATACCTTATTACCATTCTTACTAAAGCCACCATAATGGCTCAAAGTCCCTATGATGTCCTAACTAGTTTCCGATATTTACAATTACAGGGCGATTAAAAAATAACACCTTTTTTTTATGAAAAAAAAAGGAAAGTTCAGTAGAACAATTACCATGAAAGTATTTATGGAAATGGCACAGCAAAGCGACGTTACAGTGGTGAGAAAGTGACTGAAGCCAAGATACCAGATCAAGACCAATAAAGTTGCAGAATCTCTAAATATATAGCAGGATCACCAGATCAGATGTT